AGGGTACCATTGTGCTCAGGGAGCTCTGTTCTATCAGCTGGCCTCCAAAGATCAACTATTTTTTTCCTAACCCTGACCCCCATTTGCCCCTTCATGTTTGAGCCTTGGCCTTTTGACCCTTGGATAGGAAAGAAAGGGTCACTGTGTAGGGCATGTCCAGATGTCAGGGAAGGAAACAGTATAAGCACAGCATTCCTTTAAAACTGAAGCTAGTAATCAGATAGACTGCACAATCTTCTTGCGCTATATAAGATGGCCTTTGCAAAAGGTAAAGTATTGTGCATGGTACAGACTGGCTTTCCTAACCTGTGTGCTCATCATTTCACCAAAAGTACTAATTGGGATTAGTGGATTCCACCAAAAATACCAATTGGGCAGCAACAATGGAATGTAGAATATTGCCTGTGCACAGTGGAATAAGACAAAGAAAATTTGATGCATGTATCAAGTACACATAATCACTGCATTGCACACCTTGTATGCTATTTTCTGACAAGAATGCTGACAGAATACCAGATTTTATTGGGAGTTCACCAAAAATACTAATCGAGACTAGTGTGCTCAGCAGCCAACTATACCCAATTAGGCTGTCTATCACCAAGATTGCACCTTTCAACAGCAATAACTCTACAACCAAAGCACCTCATAACAAGGCAAGGGCATGTTTGAACTCCTGGAGTCTTGGTCTACAATATCAGCTGACCAGGTCAACAACTTTTTTCCTAACCCTTACCCCCATTTGCCTATTCATAGACGACACGACTTCCGACAGATGATGCATCATCGAGTGTGAACTCTCGAACGGCCTTTGTTCCATCCACTACATCGACCACAACCATTTCACCAACCGGGCTACGGCCTAGTGCCGCTGCAGGCAACAATGACGGTAGCTCTAGTAGCGTGACTGTCTTGATCGTCACGCACGAGCACTCCACTTCTGAATCTTTTCGTGCGTCAGCTTCGGCAGTCTCGACAGATCAAACAATGACACCGGTTATTGAGCTGGTAACCGACGAAGGTCGCACGGTCCCGGTTTTGACAGGCACAAGAACATCAGCTGCTTGGTTCCCAGGACCTACTGTACTGACAAACTTGTATGGGTCCAGTCAGCTACCTGCCAAGTCGATACTGGTGCACTCGAATACGTCCGCGGTGGCACATCCGCAAAGCTCAACGATCGATGTTGACTCTGGAAAGCTTGTCAGTCCAACAAGCCTATATAGCACTGTGCCCCTACTCTGGCTGCAAGATACAGACGGTCTAACACCCCTGTCTAACTCGACAGCGATATTCCAAACCCCAACAACCGAACCGAGCAATTCTACGACCGTGGTCGAATCATCTAGTGGCGAGCGTACCGTATCCAATGCCGGGATAGTCGCAGCGCTGATAGGCTTCTGGGTCCTGTTACTTTCGCTTGTGAGGTCTTAGTTCTTCTTGGTGCCACGGATCGTTGATTGAGACCTCGAAGCCACAGCGGTCTATCGAGCTGTGACGATTTGTCAGGACGTGATGATGGGGAATGGCGAATGCAAACAAACGCAGCGACTGGTGCATTTCGATATAGTCAGCGGCACCTGCTTGGTGGAAAGAACAGAATGTTTGTAGCCATGCCTTCTGACGGCCAATCTACCTGAATGGTGGTGTAGGTCTAATTCAACTGCTATATTTCAATGCATTTACTTCTCTCATGCCGAAATAGCGTAGTCTCAATGACGGCAATGCCTTGATCTTCACATATGCACCCGAAGAGATGGTATTGCTTCGCAGCGCGCGAGAGTTACAATCCAGAACGCACGCGACATTGCCACTGCTGACATGCTTAGTTCGTCTGTCAGCAATGGTGCGAGACCCAGTACGCCTCATCTGTTCGCAGGTTTCATGTAGGACAATCTGGCTAGCTAGAGTCAACGTGCGAGAACGGTGCGTATCATTTCGGGTCCTCTCTGAGGTTTATGAGACTCTCAGTTCGTGAGAGCCTGGGCGCTCTTTGAAGTGATCAATTGATTCCTTCGTTCTGTCAATGACGAGTGATGCATTGGCACAACTATTACCCGAGAGTGTCCAGCTTTGTCTTCGAAATGATAACGCGTGAACGATGTGATGGATCGCACGACTGGTTGGGCGTCGCTCAGTCATGCTCTGCAGCGAAGGCAGTTCAGACGCAGACGGTTCTTCGGCTGATTAAACAAGGCATCATCTTTGTCGTTGACGGGCAGTCGCAGTGGGACAAGCCAAAGGTGGTGCCGCGCTTCTTGCCGCCGCAGCTGGGACAGGTCATGATTGTGTACATGGCGTACGTGCAGTCGTTTCGAGATTACTTGACGGTGAAGGTGCTCGGCGGCAACTACGTCCGAGTCTCGTTCCTTGCCTGCGAACGGGTTGTGGCGCCACGCGCACCACTACGCGACCTAATGACGTAAAGTTCCCTTTTCCGACGCTCAGTCCGCATCCCCACGCCCGAATCTTTGCCGTCAAACCCTCCTTCCGCTTAGGTGCGAAGAGCGCTAGATCTTATGCGGAACGAGGGTTTCCTTCGTTTTCCGTGTGCTTAGATTAGCCACGGCGACCTTACCACACTTCTCTTACTTAACGGCTCCTCAGGGAACACGCACCTGCGCACAAATTTAGCCTTCCCCTCGTTAGCAGCATATTACGCTCCCAAAATGTTTATATGCCTCAGGCGGGTAGCGCATGTCAACCGTCTCGAGATACTTGGACACGGAGTGGGTTTGTGTTTGTGGCGTGGCGCTCCTGAGCCAAGCAGGCAGAAGGCGTCTGGCAGTTGTTCCAGGCCTTGGTCGCACGATATATAGATCAGTGCCTCGTTTTCGTCTCTCTCAGCTTCTCGTCTTCTACATTGTGCTTGTGCGTCCAATATTGAGGTAAGCTCTTCGCTCTTACCACTCATGTATCAGTCACTGACACTGTCTTCTAGTCTCTCGATCTGCTCAGGCTACCGAACGCGCGCTTGCAGCTCCAATATTTGACTGCCTCCGAGAGTCTTTGACAATCATGGGCACATTGGCAGCAATTGAGTTGAAGTTGCCTGATAATAAATAGATTGAGGTCTGATCCCGCGAAGGTATTCATGTACTTGATGCCAGGAAGTTCGCAGGGAGCACACGACAGACTCAAGGATGTGACAATTCACCTCGTACATGGAGACGAGAAACAACAACAATGCACTAGTCGACTTTTTGGTTAAGTGTTTTGCTTAGCTGAAACACTCAGCAACTAGAATATTCACGGCCTGCTCAGCGATTGCTATCCGAGTATGTCAGTATCGTTTGTAGATCTGCTGGGAAAAAGTGACTAACCATACACAGGCACCTGATAATGTGCGGCAAGGGGCTTGGGTATCTGCTTTCGATCAGCCGTATTCAACGTTCTTCACAGATGAGCAACTTACAACACTCGCATCCGCAACACGCAAGTTTTGAACCCCATATACTCTTAGCGAACCATCAACAACCGTTCCCATCGCCGCTGTTCCTCCGGGATGATATGTAGTTCCTGCGCCCATCTTGATTCGCGCATCAATTTCCTCGTCTGAAGCGTCCATCTCCAGTGCTGGGTAGCCTGATGGCGTATGCTCTCTTTCGACAAGCTCCTTGCCTTCAGCTGTGCTGAACATGAGCTGCGATTGCGTGCGGAAGCCTGTACGCATGACGTGGCGATCTGCCTCTGTTGCGTAGTAGCTTGGATCGATGATCGGATTCGCGGAGGGATCAGACGATGCGAGAGTCACTGAGCCGCGCGATGTAGGAAGACAGCCCATGAAGAAGGTCGTGATCGAAGACCCGTCGATCGGGATCTGAAGGCCCTGTGCCTCCCCCCCGACGGCAATATACATGAGCAACATCTCGAGATGAGTGCGTGGACCCTTGAGCAGCGCATGGTCATCAGATACTGGGCCCTTGTCTTTCTCGATAGCTGCTTTTAATGGATCGACAGGAATTGGTGCGCGGACCAAAAAGTCTACTGGCCCTCCCTTGTCATAGTTCGGGCCCCCAAATAGTGGTGAGCCAATGGCAAGACCTTTCTCTGGGTGTCGGAGTTTCCAGTATCGAAACAAACCCAGATGGTCATGCAGATTTCGGCCCACCTGCCGAAGGTCGCATACAAGTGGGATGTCGTGCTGCGATAGGTGGACGGGGTCACCGACACCAGAAAGCATCAATATTTGCGGCGTTCGGTAAGCGCCAGCGGAGATGATGACTTGACCACCTTCGTTGAGATCGATTTTTCCACCGTCCGCGAGCTCCACGCCCACGGCTGTCTTAGCGTCATTGAAAAGCACACGGCGAACGATGGTTCCTGTAAGCACTCGAACGCCTTTCAGCGAGAACACCGATTGCGTCATTTGCCTTTTCCCATCTCTAAAATTCTCCACCAGGTCGCTGATTCCTTGCGGTCGGCCATCGTTGAGATCGTGAATATACGGGATTCCCAGGTTCGACCACAGCCTTAGTACTGTGTTGCGCAATGGGTACTTGCGTCCAGTTGAACTGACGGATGCAGTATGCATCGGGCCATCGAAACCATGCTGCGACGGATCTGCACCAGGGTCGAAATGCTTTTCAGTACGTTTGAAGTATGGAAGTAGACCCTCGTAGCTCCAACGTTGATCGCCGACGTCGCGCGCCCAAAGATCATAATCTGTTCTATCACCTCTCGTCCAGCCACCTGGTGTAATCAGCGGACATCTCATACCAGGCGGCTACATTCTTACCATTGTTGATGACGCTTCCGCCACCAAGGCCTTTGAAGCCGACATTACGCTTCGGCTTTCCGTCGAGATGATCTTGAGGCGTTGTGGAGTAGTTGTAGTCGTACTCAGAGAAGTGAAGGTGTGCAGCTGCGGCTGGATCTGTGACATACGGGCTACCAGTAGGGTCAGGGCCGGCTTCAATGAGCACGATCGCGAGCGGCAGCTTTCTCTCATGCAAGCGCGATGCGATGACCGTCCCAGCAATTCCGCCGCCTACGATGATGATGTCGGCCATTTTCGCAGCACTTTGGGGACAGTGAAGGAAAAGAATTCTTGAGTGAAGAAACCAGGTTGAACTCAAGTGGTTACAAAGTCTATCATATACTTAGCAACTTAGCTTTAGATAAATGTGGGTAGTAATCGTGTTTTCAGTCCGCGCTTGGACAAGGTGAGTTGTAATCGTATATGTAGGCAGCCTTGCAGATAAAGTGGGGTGTAATCATGCATGAATACAGTCAGCATGGCGAGATGCAGCGGGGTTGCTTGCCGCAACGGCGAAATTTTCGAGTTGATAAGCTCAGCTACCGTGTCTGTGCGCGCAATGTGCCGAACCACCAAAATAGCTCCACCAAACATGAGGCTGTAGAGCCGCACACAATGGTAATTATCATGAGAACTTTTGGTGGAGTAGTCTATAGACCTGTATGAACAAGTTCCTTACTGTCACGACTGCCATTCATGAGCCAGGCCTTGAGAGGCCCTGTTGTGTAACGACACAGGTAAGAGAGGACTCCAATATGGGTTCGAATCCGCTACGAGGTGTATGGGAGCACTGGGATAGATAGAACTAGGAGTAAACCTCTATTCCTATAGGTCTTGTACAAAAGGATACTCAAAAACTATCTACCATAACTATGTACACTGCCCTGCTTATATACCTAACAGCTCAATGTAGCTTGGGGGATACCGGTAGGTAGTAGGGTAGGGATCGGTTAGGAGTTGGATAGCAATCGTGTGAGTAGTATGAGGAAGAAACGGTTGGTATGGTTCTTACATGTTGGGCCTTGGATGGCCTCAGCAGGTTTCAACTTGGGCCATCAGGCCTTGCGCTTGCTAAGCAAGCGCACCCCCCTCATGATATTGCTGCCCTGCCCAAAGCCTTACTTCCTGAGAGGATTGCATTTGTTCTATCCTGAGGTTGTTACCCTATTTTTACAATACAATCCTCTACCCACAACTATCAGCGTATAGACCAGATAGTGAATACACAAACGTCAGGGGAACCCCTTCCAGATAGGAACCCCCTACCCATGGCAGGGAGCCAGACAACCGGAGCAGACATGCCTGTAGTACCAACTGAGGCCCACAAGCCAGTACAGGAAGCTATGGCCCCAAACAACCCCTTATCTTTGGATGAACAGATCCAAGAGGCTGAGCGTCAGTTGGAGATCACTCACAAGACCAAACAATTAGAGAAACTCCAAGCCCCACAACAAGCGTTAGTGTAACACCTACAACTGTATCCGCCCCAATACCAATGTGGTTCCTGCAGGTCTCAGCACACCGCTCCCTGTCTGTTGCAAACTACTTCCTTGTCACCTGGACAAGGGTATTTCTAATTCCCCTCCAAAAAGGATACTTAATGGCTCCAATACTGTAGCTTAGATAGAGTAGTTTTTCTGTATCCTTTTGTACAAGACCTATAGGTGTAGGGAATTCAATCCTAGTGTTCTCAACGTCCCAGCACTCCCATATG